GTCGAGGGGTGTATGTGAAGAAGCACCTTAAAAGATGACAAATAGTAATGAAATGTTTTTTGTTTTGTTTTATAAACTGAATGTTTTGTTTGTTTGCTTGTTGTTGTTGTCGTTGTTCTGTCTCATTATTTCCCACTTGAGTCATTACTTTGGTTAGTTACATAATTCCTTATCAACAAATTATAGGAAATTATTAGGTCTTCTTTTCTCTTCATTTTTTGGTAGTAGTAGTGGTGGTGGTGGTAGGGGGGATATTCATTCAATCTTGTTGTGATATGTTTTTTTCTTTAAAAAAGAAGGGGCAAGATGTTTATTTATTTGATTATTTCATTCATTTTAAACAAAAAAAACCCATAATGTGTTGTATTCATTTTATGACATAATCGAGGTAATTCTCTTTGTATCTAAGTAACTATTTCTATGAATATAATGTTGTTTGTTTTGTTGTGTTAATAAGGTATGACAATTTACACCAATGCATATATATGTGCTTGGTTCTATGTTTGTAGCTAACTGATTGACTTTGATATAGTTACTATATGAATTGTATAAAAGAAAGGTAATTATGTGTAATTTTAAAGTATTTAACATGATTCTTTTAGATTTCGTTGTTGTTTTTTGTGGGTTTTTGTCATTGTATTGTACTTACTTACTTACGCCTGTTACTCCTTGTGAAGGAACATAGGCCGCTCACCAGCATTCTGCATCCAACTCTGTCCTGGGCCATTGTATTGTAATCTGTATATATACAACTATGTATATGTTGATAAGTTTAACCGGATTATACTTTCTTTTGTGTATATATATATATATATATATATATATATATATATATATATATATATATATATATATATATATGAACTTGACTGTTGTTTATTTTGTATGGAATAGTTGATTTCCAATGTTAGTAGTAGTAGTAATAGAAGTATGATAATTTTGATTTTATTGTGTTCTTTAATTTGAATAACTTAATGGATTATTCTGGCAAATATCATCAATGCTTAATTCATCATAAAAGAAAGCTCAACTAGTTCACTCTATGAATAACATACTCCCCTGTTTGATTATATTCTTCATAGATTTTGTTCTTTTCATTTATCTTTGCGCATTCCTAGTAACTATCTTCTTTTGATATTGACCTATGGGCATTTGAACAGTTAACGTTGTTCTCTGCTTTTTTTTGTATACACTAATCAGTTAGGCTTAGAATAATGTTTTGGACGTTAATCAATATTTAGCAATTGGGATTCATCTTGATTTTTTTCGTTTTCTTTATCGATACATATAACATGGTTTATATTTGGATAAGGCAGTTAAGAAGAAGTTTTTTTGCATCATTGATAACAGTTTTGTAGAGAAGTTCATGTAAACGTAAAAAATAATTTGTAAACATACTTGATTTGTAGAGATTGTTCAACTTCTAATGTACATCATCATCACACTTACAGTTTATTCAAGGATTAAACGCATGTTATTCAGGCCGCATAATGAGTGGGATACCTTTATATGTCCACACCGGTATCAGAAATGAGGTAGATGTGTCACTAAGGACAATGAATGATGGTTGGTAATCGACTAAAATATGGGACATAAACTGTACAATAACAAGTGGACTTGAAATATTTCTATTCTTGCGAGACTTTAAGGTCCTAAGTTTAATCCCTACTGAGGGTTCCCATTCTAGGATGATATAAGTTGTCTGTTGTCCCTTTGATTTAGAGTAGTTGTGGAGAACAAACTCCGTATTCTCAGCCAAAAGTATTCTCTATCGTTTGTTAATCAGTTAATTGTAGTCAAGCGTCTTGCCTTTAATATCTATTTGTTATGTAGAAAATTACTCTATGTTCATTGACTTTTCTTCATAGTGTGGGATAGTATAATGAACGAGAACTGAGATGAGAAAAACTAATCTATTGTTTAATACAAAGTTGCAGAGTTCTCTTATAAAATGTGACAACCATACGTTCGATGCTTCATTTACAAATCCTTTATCAACTCAAATTTCATCGTTCCATCATTATCATGAAAATTACTCTATGTTCTCATTCTCTTCAATTCAATTTTCTCAACTTCCTACTGTTAGGCATTCCACTTCTAATTGGTGTTACATACTACTTATATCTGTCGATAGTTATAAGTAGTCTACATCATATTAGGATTGTTTCATTCGGATTTCTCTAAAGATGTACTTTTATTAATATTTCATTATTCAAATAGCTTAGATCACGTTAGCTAGAAGTAGTCGAATGGATAATTTTTAAAGGTTAACTCATACATTGTTCTTTCATTTTCATACAAATTGCATTCTGTTTCTATTCTTTACTCCCGACCAAAGCTGCTACCTTGACGCGGTGGTCGGGCTCGCCTATCGTGATGACCCAACCGAGCTATATTGGCTGGAACATATGTTCCTGTAGGTTCTACCATGCCAGGCAGGTCGATTGGAGAACGGTAAGACTAAAAGCAGCAACTCAAGGTCTGAGGGCGAAGTCGTACTGCTGACTGTAGAGGGGTGTGACAACAGTAAGGTGTTTCCCTCGGACAACCAGCATCTGCAGCGATGCTGCTTTCCCACAAAGAGGGGTGGGGTTCGAAAAGGTCGACCCTAAAAGTTTCACACCTCACCTTACCTCACGGATTTCCGTCTCTGGCGGTAAGGCCCTTTGAAGAACGGAGCTAACACATTAAAAACCTTCCACGAAAAGGCCGTGCGCGACCGCCCTAAAGCAGTTGTCCTTTGGGCTCTGCGGTCACGCTCCCAGGTCGTTAAGACCAACACTAATCCAATTTCCTTTTCAGGTTCCTCAAGAAATACCCTTCCACGGTGTGGGCAGCCGGGAAGTGATATCAGCCCTCATACCCGTAACTGACTGACTATTCTTTACTGTTCGGTCCTCTTGTCTCTCTTTTGTCAGACAGTCTGTTCACGACTAACATCATCTACTAATTATGTCAATATAAGTAGCACACACTCTACATATATCAATATGTTCTATATTTAAGGGTAGAATTTCAATAATAAATAACATAATATTTGATCAGACAATTTATAGTTACCATGCATTGTTTTTCATAATTATAGTAATAATAACAACAGTTTATAGTATGTACTTTGTTTAAGGTCAGTTTTAAATCGTTTATATCACCATCATGGTTATATTTTTAATGTTATCCTACAATCACTATGATACAATGATAGTGAATTGTCCGGGTTTTTTTCAAATATTTGTTTCTAACTTGCGTAAATACCCTTTTCTTAATCACTTGGTGATATGAATCAATGAAACTGTTAAGTGGTGGTGATCTAAACAACTATGTAATTTAGTTACTACTGTAATCTAGTACTTAATATATTCAATTATATTAGTGAAATACAAGTGTCTAAGAAAATGCATTTTCCGAATGGATAGTAATTACCACTATATAGTATCAATAAATTGTTGAAGTAAATCAGGTAGGGAACTTGAGAACAGTTATATATTTGAAGTGTGATTAGTAGTGAAATCCAGAACATATATGTGTGATGTCGTATTCAATTGGTTGCCCTCAAATACCTTGGTACGCCTTAGGGTGGGGAGAGTTTGCTCTTCTCCAAATGCTCTCACATGGCCACGCGTATATAGCCTCTTCCAGGGAAGTCCTAATCACTGCTTTCTCGTGGCGGGGGTGTTGTTTACGGAATTGAGAGGACGAAAAGCGAATGTCCGACGCTTTAACCAGGTTGGTGGACATGGAGAGTCCACCTAGGGGAGTTGAAAAACCCTCATTCCAAACCAATGGTGCACATGGGCTCCAGTATCCTGAAGGAACAAATGGCGTATAAACTAATTGTTGGTCGCTGGCTACCATAGGACTACATCTGCTTACGATGCTCCACTACCTTGTGGATCAGACCTTCAGGTCGAAGGCTCGGGGTGTGGCTCCCTAAGTAAACCATCTTCTTTGGCTTGGGAACCCGGGCAGTATTACATCCCTCACACATATCAAATGAGATCTGTGTGCCTCCTTGGTTGATCAAAATTTATAACTAAATGTCCACTATAGATGAACACAAAGTTCAATGGTTGACTATAGATCCCACAAGCTTGTGTACAAGATTGAGATGCTATTTAGCATAAAAATATCAAGTTTGACTTTCATGATGTATCATTTCTTACGCTAAATTTAACCACAAAAATTGAAATGAATCACTCTTGGCAGTTGAAATTAGATGTCATAAGTAACTAACTATCTTAGAAACAATCTATGTATTGTACATGTTAGCTATTCTTGCAGTGTTGAAGATTCTGGAAGTATGTGAAGTGTCTTATAAAACTCTGTTGACTTTCATTTCGGTTTATATTTGAGCGACAACAACGTATACTTCATTTTTATAATGAAAACTCAAAGGATTGGGTGAAATTAATTTGCGGATCATTGTAATTGTGTAAGATTATTGTTATATCCGAGTGGAGATTAAATTACAGGTAACTTCCGAGGACTATTCATGGACTAATATTTTATAAATATTCTTATTGTATAACTATTCAACAATTACATTATGTATATTTATATCCCTCTTATGACAAGCTTTATTTTGGCCTATAATTTATTATTGTACGATTTACGGTTCTTAAGTTATGTTCAGTTTATTACCTACTGCCTCCCACATTCACAGCCACTTTTTGGGCTTATTTGTGTACAAATATTATTTCCTATTTTATGGTACGTTGCGGTCTGTATGATTGATATATAAACCAAGTATGCCTGAAATAAACGATCTGCTCTGATTCGGAAGCTGGTATCTTGTTCTGGACTCAAGTGGAAGGGCTCGTAGGACATAGGACCAATAAGGACGCTAAACTGCCCACACCGGTTGAACGTCATTGGTTGGCCTAGTGTGAAGATACGTATAAGTCGTATTCGGATTGGTAGATAAATCGCGTGATAGAAAAGTCAGACATCCAAGGCCTTAACAATTGGCGACGGGGTGGAGAACAGTTTTGAACCCTCAACTTCAAGGTCATAACAATTGGCGACGGGGTGGAGAAAAGTTTTGAACCCTCAACTTCAAGTCATAACAATTGGCGACGGGGATTTTGGCAACAAACAAATAATAATAATACAAGTGGTGACTCAGATTTTGGAAATAAATTAGCTGTAAATTGCCGGTGATTTTTGGAGCTAATATTATTGGCAAAAAAAATGTCGATTTCTTTCGAAGAGTTGCGGTTAATATTACAGCACCAGCAGAAGATGTTGGCCTTCCAACAACAGCTATTTGTAACAGTTTTGGGCAGACTTTGCATTCAAGCAGAAAATAAGAAATCTATATATCATGCAGATAATGGTGCAGTAATGGACATTTCAGAAGCATATCCTGTGCAGGGTTCAAATCCCTCTATACCAGAAGGAAAACGTAATATTGGTAACGTGTCCAGCTCAGAGCAAGGAAATATTGTGCTAAATACACATGATGATCAGGAGCCAGATCCTGTAGGTGATGCCCAGAGTCCAGAATCAAATGAAACACTACTGGTACTGTCTAGCTGCGAAAATAAACGTCAGCTCGAACAAAATTGTGGTCCACGTGCTATTAGTCGAGAAAGCTATGGTGACTCGTATTCAGAAAATAACTGGAGCAACACGATGAACCAAATTGCACCAGATGTTACTCAAAATCACCGGAAGACAGAATTCTATATCGAGTCAACTTATCCCATTTCTAATGACAGTGTACCAGATATTGATTCTCAGAATAATGCATGTGATTTTGATGAAACTTCTTATAACAATGAGGGAAATATGTCAGCTGAGTCGAATGATGGCCAAAAATCTCATTTGATTCTTTTAGACGTTGACTTTCTTAATGACTCGTTATCTGCTAACGAGATTCATAATGAATTTGAAAATAATGAATTCAGATCAAAGGTCGTTCATCATCATCTAGTCATTTTTAGTGGATTCTCCAGTCAATACGAGAAACATGGTTTAAATAAAGTCCTATTAGTTGTAATTTGGAGCCATAAGGACCCAACATTATTTCGAGGAGGAGGAGAATGTTGAGGAATTTAAAGTCACATATAATTCTTTTTTTTAATCAGAATCTAAAGTTGGAATTTTCAAAAAAAAAAGGGGGAGGTGTTATATCCGAGTGGAGATTAAATTACAGGTAACTTCCGAGGACTATTCATGGACTAATATCCTATAAATATTCTTGTTGTATAACTATTCAACAATTACATTATGTATATTTGTATCCCTCTTATGACAAGCTTTATTTTGGCCTATAATTTATTATTGTACGATTTACGGTTCTTAAGTTATGTTCAGTTTATTACCTACTGCCTCCCACATTCACAGCCACTTTTTGGGCTTATTTGTGTACAAATATTATTTCCTATTTTATGGTACGTTGCGGTCTGTATGATTGATATATAAACCAAGTATGCCTGAAATAAACGATCTGCTCTGATTCGGAAGCTGGTATCTTGTTCTGGACTCAAGTGGAAGGGCTCGTAGGACATAGGACCAATAAGGACGCTAAAGTGCCCACACCGGTTGAACGTCATTGGTTGGCCTAGTGTGAAGATTCGTATAAGTCGTATTCGGATTGGTAGATAAGTCGTGTGATCGAAAAGTCAGACATTCAAGGTCATAACAATTATGGTTTGCCTTTTTTTTAAAAATTCCATACAATGAAGTTTGCTTTAAACTGTAATGGTTTAAACAGTTAAAGATTATTCTCAACCATGGCTCAAAATCGTTTGGAACGGCGCTGGTGCATCCACTCTTTGTGTTCACCCAAATTCTAATCTTCTGAATTCTTCATGTCCCTTTTTTTCCCTTTCCAAATTTATTTGATTGGATTATACTGATTGAATAACATCTTCAAACCCTGATATTTCCGATTACTGCTTAAACTTGTACTACCTCTTCCACTATGGAATTTGAATCGACAATTGTATCTGTGTGCTAATGTGGTATGGCAACTCGAACTGATATACGTACGTACGTACGAAGTTCTACGTTGTTGATTGACTGACTAACTGATTCTCAACCATTACACAATATGTCCGAATAAGCGTTTAACACATAAGCGTATAAATAGTCGTTGGTTTATATCTATTTGCAATTACTACATTGTTTAAAGGCAATTGGATCTTGATTGATCACAAAGTATATTTGGATTACTAAACTAGCTAACTGTTAAATGTACAATAGTTGTTGGCAGTAAACATTACAATGAAACTTCATAATAGACGATAGAAGATGGTTTCACAATATCGCGGATTGATTGAAGTTAGACATTAAGACCGTTAAATGTTGAATCCGTTTTCTAGAGATTAATCGTATGGGCGTAAAATCTAAGGTCCTGAGTTCTATTGTGGATGTGCACTTCTGATGAGTTTCATTCTAGGACGAAACACCATTTTAGTAATTTTAGGTTTTCCATAGTGATCTAACATTGATCAGTCCACGATTTCTGTAAAATCGAGTAATCAATAAAAGTTTGACAATTTTTGGATTTCAACTCTAATATGTTTTATTTTTAAAGTCAGTCAGCTACAACATAGGACCAGGCACATATGTGCATCGGTTCAAGTTGCCATACCTCATTAACACAACAAGATGGACACCAGATTCATAAAAATAGCTAATTCCGAGGTGGTAATATATAAAAGAAAGATTGCGATAAGGATATGGTACAGGAAGAAAGAATTAGTTCGTGGAAAGAAAGATATGAAGCGATTTTAATCTCTTAGTTTGAGGGAAGACAGAGAGTGTATACACCGACGCCATTGTGATCGATCGATTCTGAGTCATGTCACCCATAGTCTCCAACCATTGGCTACGAAAGTCACGCGGACCCCAACCAAGTAGTCTGCATCTACCAACATGGCTCAGACTAGAAGTTAGTGACTTCAAGCACTGATGCCACATTTTGGTTTGGCCACCCCTAACTTTCTCCCAGCCATCCACAACACCGGTTAGCATTGTATGTCGTGGTAATCGGTGTTCAGTCATACATAACACGTGGCCCAACCATCTCAGTCGATGAAGATTCACAACCTTATCAACTGATTTACCATCATTCCCTAATACCCTGCGTCTAACCTCACTATTACTTACCCGGTGATCCTAGCAAATGCCAGCTATATTTCTATTTTTAAAGGTACACATAAAATCAAAACTCAACAATTTCGATCTGTTATGGTTCACTCTATGAACGGATAATGATTAAGTTCCATACATGGAATAGTAACTGAGCACTGTCAACCACATTATTGAATGAGAGCAAATTAGTTGTTCAGTATTTTTTCTGGCTTTCATTAATTGTTTGATGCATACATATATCTGATATGAGAAAAACTTAATCATGAACTGACCATTTAACGCTATTGATACTAATGATGAAGGGTATGAAGTACATAATTTATATTTTGATAAATATTTTTGTTTGTTTGTTTATAACTGTGTTAGTGATGTTGTCTCAATAACCCTGTTGACCTTTAAGGTTTACGAGTAGAATTGAAACATTATTATTATTATTAAATTCACTTGGTGTTGTTTTAGTTGTATCGTCCCATTGTTATTTAGAACTGCAATTGATCAGTCTCTTATTGGCATATGTACATACTGTGTGTATTGCCTCAATATTGCCTTAATTCACAAACATTATAAACACGGAATACAATGGACAGCTCAGAACCAATTAGACGATCTGGACTTCGCAGATGACCTAGCCCTCCTATCACGTACACACGAACAGATGCAGATGAAGACAGCCAATGTAGCAGCAGTCTCTGCATCAGTAGGCCTCAGCATACACAAAGGGAAAACGAAGGTCCTCAAATTCAAAGCGGAGAACAGCAATCCAATCACTCTTGATGGCGAAACTCTGGAAGATGTAGAATCCTTCACATATCTGGGAAGCATCGTCGATAGACATGGAGGTTCAGATGCAGACGTAAAGGCGAGGATTGGCAAAGCAAGGGCCGCATTCCTACAATTGAAGAACATATGGAACTCAAAACAACTTTCAACCAATATCAAAGTGAGAATCTTCAATACGAACGTCAAGGCAGTTCTACTGTACGGAGCTGAAACTTGGAGAACTACAACAACCACAATCAAGAAGGTACAAGTATTTATAAATAGCTGTCTACGCAAGATACTCAACATCCATTGGCCGGATACCATCAGCAATAGCCTTCTGTGGGAGAGAACAAACCAACTTCCAGCTGAAGAGGAAATTAGGAAAAGACGATGGAAATGGATAGGACATACATTACGCAAATCGTCAAACTGCATCACGAGGCAAGCCCTAACTTGGAATCCTGAAGGGAAGCGGAAAAGAGGAAGGCCAAAGAACACATTGCGTCGGATAATAGAAGCAGATATGAAAAGGATGAATTACAACTGGAAGGAGCTGGAAAGTATTGCCCAGGACAGGGTTGGATGGAGAATGCTGATGAGCGACCTATGCTCCTTCACGAGGAGTAACAGGTTATCGAGTCGAGATAAACAAAGATAGATAGTGGCTAGCAGTGAAATCCAGGATGCTCTCTATTTCAGCTATCAGGACTCAGTAGCTAAATGGATAACGCGATGGAAATTGTAGCGAATGGTACTGGGTTCGAGTCCCTCCCAGAGTGAACATCAACTCTGTGAGATGCAGGTAAATCCAGTTGAAGAGTCCCAAATCGGGCGAAACGCGCCTCCTGGATTCCACTGCTAGCCACTATCCATCTTTTATTATTATTAGACGACATTGTGGGCCTTCAGATGTATCTCTGATTGATCACCAGTCTTATATGATTAATTAAATCACAGCCATGGTATGTTTAATATTTGTCATGTTGATTGATTACGAATCTGGATTGAATTAAGTAGTATGTGTGTTATATGTGAATTACAATTATTTGACTATATAGTAGTTTTGATAAAATGGGTATGCGAGTTTCAAACTGTTAAGTGATGTTTCCTATGGGATGAGAACTAGGATTAACAAATCTCACAGTTTGAGATGTTACCATTAAGTTATTCAGTCCACAACACCCTCCTTTAAGACTGAGATGTTAACATTTATTGATTACTTAGTTGAGATCAGTCTCATCTTTTTCTAATCCGTAATGTTACTCAAATTCCATTTTTTGACAAAATGTTTTTCATATTTGAAACTATTCAATAAAGCCTCATCACTTTGAGAAATAATATTAGTATGCTTATAGTTTGGAAATAACTCACATGATATCATGCTTGAATATCTGGAGTTCGATCCTTGGTTAGGTCATGTATGAGCACTGTTAACAAACCCCATACTAGAACGAAACAGCTGTCCAATCCTGCTGGTGACTGCTGAAACCTAACTAGGAACAGTATGGAAATGCTTAAAATTCTATTTGGAAATATAACTATTTATGAAAGCTGTTTTCTGATTGACTAGGAACCAATTGGAAATGAATCACAATTATTTTAAACTCGTCTTTATTACTGAACTTTCGCTGTATTTACAAGTGAAATGTATCATCACACATGAAAGTATTTTCTAAATCATAGTAATTTCAATACCTGACAGTTAAAAATGTACTGTTATTCAGATTTGTGTGGTAAAGACAGAAGGTCTACGGCCTATGATTCTGTGAGTGTCTAGTCTTCTCTTGAACTCCGCCTGTAGCTCTTATAGGGTTGCTGCCGGTCCCAAGCCCGGGTAAAGGAGGAGGGTTGGGCATGGGGTTAGCGTCCCCATCCCGTAGAAAACTAACTCGCTAAAAAAACGCTTACCAGAAAAAATAATCCAAACCATTTTAACTCTGCCCTGGGAGTTAGAAGGTCTTCATTTAGAAGAATTATGACGCTTCATGGTGAAAGCCGAGTTCCTTCGGAAGCCACGAGGCCGATGCCCCTTCTAACAACCAGAGCAAAAATTTTTATAGGTACATGGAACGTTCGAACAATGTGGGAAACCGGGAAGACCAGTCAAATATCAATGGAAATGAGGAGATACAACTTAGCAGTACTGGGAATCAGCGAAACCCACTGGACCCAAGCTGGACAGAAAAGGCTAGCTACGGGAGAGATGCTGCTATACTCCGGTCACGAAGAGGACAATGCTCCACACGCTCAGGGAGTCGCTCTTATGCTGTCCAAAGTAGCACGAAATGCACTTGTAGGATGGGAATCTCACGGATCCAGAATCATCAAAGCATCATTCAAAACAAAGAAGGAGGGGATCTTAATGAATATTATCCAATGTTATGCACCCACCAATGATAGCAACGACGAAATCAAAGATCAGTTCTACGAGCGGCTGCAGTCAGTGATAGAGAAATGCCCAAGAAAAGACCTCACCATTCTAATGGGAGATCTCAATGCCAAAGTCGGAATAGACAACACTGGATATGAAGATATTATGGGACGACATGGACTGGGAGAAAGAAACGAAAATGGAGAAAGATTTGCAAATCTATGCGCATTCAACAAATTGGTCATAGGAGGCACAATATTTCCACACAAGCGTATACACAAGGCTACATGGATCTCACCGGACCACACTACAGAGAACCAAATAGATCATATTTGCATCAACAAAAAATTCCGAAGGACAATGGAAGATGTGAGAACCAGGAGAGGTGCTGACGTAGCTTCAGATCACCACCTAG